TGGCAACTCAATGCTGGCAGGGGAATTTTGGAAGTTGAAGTCCTCACGTCTTCAAGTTACCAAATGAGAAACGCTATTCTAAATGGCACTCCGTATAATTGTGTTAGTGACGGCATTAGAGAGTGACCTAGAAGGAGGTCTGAACTGAACATGAAGGTTACAGCTGATGCATGTGTTGTCTCCATTACAAGGTTTCGTTGCATTTGTTAGGCTTGAGAATCTGATTAACAATAGTGCGTCAACTCGGCGTTGCAGTTGCTATCCAGCTGTATACAGATGTTGAAACAAATAGGTGTACCGGCTTGAACAAATCTGTGCACAGATCCAGGAACAAATAAGTTTCTGTTTTAGCTGTACCCTGGCTTAGTGGCTAAGACTCTGAGCTTGTTGATTAGAAAAGTGGGCAGTTTGGCGGTTCGAATCCCTCGTGACGTGTAACGGAGTGAATTCCCGTTGCTTGTCCCAGCTTCTGCCAGCCTAGCAGTTCAAAAGCACGTAAAAATGCAAGTAGTAAAATAGGGACCACCTTGGTGGGAAGGTAACAGCGTTCCGTCTGCCTTTGCCATTTGGTCATGCCGTCCACATGACCACGGAGACGTCTTCAGACAGCGCTGGCTCTTTGGCTTTGAAACGGAGATGAGTATTGCCCCCTAGAGTCAGGAACCACTAGCGCATATGTACAAAGGGAACCTTTATCTTTAGAAGAACACAACAAATAATCTGACATGAACAGTGTGGGTTTCTGTAGCAAACGTGTTTGCAGCCTGCTGAAGAGGGCTCCATTTGTTCTTGGCGCATAAAACAACATGCTTTGAATATGCTTTGTTCTGTGCATAGAGTTCTTTTCCTTAGAAACTTTGAAAATGCTTTGGTTGGTTTACCAGTGCGCGGCTGTTCAGCTTCAGTGTAAGCTTGAACATTTAGGAATAATGGTTTCTTAGAATGGGTAGATTTCTAAGAGATGGGAGCAGCATGGATTTAAACCCATCAGCTGTCCTAGAGTCAGATTTTCTCCAACCTTATAGGATGACTGTGATTAAACACTAGAAAAATCACATACGTCACCCTGAGGAATATTGATAATTGACAAAAGGTTGGATATGATGGGCAGGGATCTTTCTGAATCTCTTAAACTCTTGAATGTTTGATATACCTCTTGTCTTTCCTCCAGGCCTGATGAAAGCCGCCAAGAGCTGACCAGCCCATGGACTGCTGTCTGGGTGAAGATTTCATCCAGCTGGGTTGGGCTTCTCCTGTATCTTTGGACGTTGATTGCCCCACTTGCACTTCCAGACCGTGACTTCAGCTGAAAACTTTCAAAGAGTGCCAACTTCCCAAGGGAAAAAGTTACACAGTGCCATGAGAAATAAGCGAGCGATGTCAATACTTATGGTTTGAGTGTTAGGTATGGGCTCTCAAGCTTATGAAGGCAGAAGTGACCAATCCTCCTCTTTCCTGTGTCTTATATTCACAAATCTACAAATCTTTTTGTGCATTGAAAAATTTCTTTTTTTAAAAAAAGTTAAGCTCATACACACACACACACACACACACACACACACACACACACACACACACACACACACAGACACACATGGTGTCACAATCC